GAAGAACTACGACGTCGAAGGAACTCCTCCAAACCTACGCTGCCGTCATGTCCACGGCCTGTGCCAATAAACACGCTAATCCGATTCGTTCAGCCCAACCTGGGCGCTACAGTCACGCCACCACGCAGAACAATATGATCCGGGTTTCTCTTCGCCAAGGATGTGTCAAACCAGCCCTCTGCTGCGTCCACCAACCCGTCCTTCACAAACATGCCAGTATTGAAGAATACTCTCAACACCAGCCCACGTTGGGCATAACCACAACAGCGGCGGTAATGCCACGACGAAAACAACTGCCCGTGCTAGTGGACGTACCACAACAGCCGTGGTTGTGTGGTGGTCTACAATACCTGTGGGCACACACCCACAGTCTCATTAGCACGTACTGCTATAACACTCACCAAAATCAAGACCTGCTTCGCCCCGTAGTAAGTACGGAAGGTGTATTTAGTCCACCGGTATAACGCTATCATTGGGCCGGCGCATGGCTACATTCGTGGCCTACGGTAGTCCACGCCGCAGTTTCATGTAGCTGCACGGGGACCATATTCACAGGAAACTAGACTCACAGTGGCCATGTGACCTGTGTCGTTGGTGTGTCTAGTGCTAAGCATACGACCACGAAACATGGCTATGGTACTTGTGCCCCTATCACTTTCACCTCATATTTCCGTATAGTTCCACATCCACTACCACTAACAACACCCCTGTGTATCCCACAACAATCAATCACGCCACCACTACACTGGAAGCTACGTACATACTATATAGTCATCCTTAGCATATGACCACGAATCCTAGCTACACATTTTTACCCCTGCCTTCTCGTACTTCGACTAACGTAAAGGTTGCAATGTCCAACTCTAAACCTATCGCACCTCCAGCTTTCCCCCATACACACCAGTAACACGAACACAATCCCCATCCACGACTATTGCCCCAGTGACTACCTACCGCTACCAGTACTAGTCGCAGGGGCAGTGCGTGCCACTGTTTCCCCAGGTAGTATGAATACGAGCCATGAATGGAGACTACCACCAGTAGCGTCGTCCTCAGAATATGACCACATAATCTACCTTCACTACTTGTGCTCCTGCCCTCTCTATTTCCACCACTGCCAGTGGTAATCAATGGGGCAGTAGTCGTGGAGGAAGTGGTCACAGCTTCGCATGTTGTCACTACGGATTCCACTATCACCTTGACCGCTTCCCTTGTCGCCACATCCACTATGCAAATAGACTAGGTCGTGGTCATTGGCACAGTGTCGTGGTGACATGGGCTGCGGCAATTGTGCAGTAGACGTGATGAATAGCAGCGATTGCAGCCACTTGCCCAGCGGTGGCGACCACAGGTGCAAAGGTCAAGTGCGCCAATGAATGCGATCGAGGCATCAAATACCAAGATCTCAATTCCACTGACCAAAACTGGCGAGCGTGACACTACAACGGCTGCCTGGTTACCACAACGCCAGTTTGATATTCAACCAGATTGTATTTTATTTAGTTGAGTGTTTAAAGCGCACTACTCTCGTTAGTGTAGTGGTTAACTTTAAGCCGTTGCCCCGGAGTGGAGGAAGCTTAAGCGACGTAGTCGTCGACGTAATGCATGTGGGTGTCAACTACGTCGCCTTGCACTTTTGTTCGACGTAATGCATGTATGCCATATGTAAAGTTACATTCATTCGACCGGACAAAACGAGCTGCATTTATCCTCAATGCAGCTCGGTTTGTCGGGTCGAAGGCTGATACGGTCGTGTGTGCTTGGTACCGGTGGAACGGCGCTGAGTGGCCTTTCTGGACGTCGTATACGATCACGGTCATGACCTCCTTCGAGGTGAGACGAGGGTGTTGGGGTTGTGGGGGTCCATACCATTGACTCGACGTCCGTCGAGAGCGAGAACTTGGAGAACGCTTGCAGCGCGGCCGTCCAGCACGACAAGGCTGCGATAGAACGACGCGCTGGTGAGGATTATCGACATGTCCAGGTTCCACTTGACGCTCTGGACATTGTCCGTGTGATGATTGACAGTAATACAGTAGTGAATTTCCCACTCCCAGTGCTGATAGCTGTGGTGAAAATTCTCTTCTGGATGCCGAGCATTTGTTGGAACATTGCGCATAACTCAACTACCGGTATAATTGCTGTTTAGATCACACATGATCCATTCGGTGAATCTTTGTCGTTACAGGTATGGCAGTCATAAAGCAAACATACTTCCACTGCTCCACATTACTTGTTCGATATGAAAATCACATTTTTTCCACATTACTGTGCACATATGGATACTATTGGCTGATTGAGAAATACAATGATTGGATTGGTCATTTAATGACTAGTCTACAGATGCAGCGACACAGGACACGCCACATTCGACATCAGGAGACCAGCGCGTCTCAAGGACTCCTTCAAATGGGGTAACGCATAACTATTGCAGCCTGAGACAACGCATCACTGCCTGAAAGGTTAGAAACACGTTGTCCAACTTCTCGTGATTGAGTTCATCGAATGCCTACATGGTGTGACGGACCACGTCATCCACAGAGCGGCTCATCTTCTTGTACTGTAGGCTCTGAATCGAGGCAAAAAAGCCTAGATCCAAAACGTTCAGATCAGGGCTGTTTGGTGGCTGCCGACGCATCACGAACGTCCAACCGTCCGTCGACACGGCCGCCAGCGCTGAATCCGTGATGGCACCATGTGGTGTCGCATTGTCATGCTGCAGTACCACACGCTTGTTTGCACTGGGCAACGAGGCCTTGATGGCAGGGATCACCTTGTTGAGTACGTAGTCGTCACGGTACACGACGCCATCGACATTGACCAATGTCGTCACCATAGTTCCGGATGGCAGGCACCAGACGAACAAACGGCCACATGACAACCTTGCCATTGAAGAAGACGCCGCGGACCTCGTCGTAGCGTGGGCGTGCGACAGCCGCCAGGAACATCACTTTGGGGACAAACCGCTTGGTATTCCAGGCACATCGTGGGGGCTTCTCGCCAGGAACCAGGTACACCTTCCGTCGATCCTTGTCGGCGTTGAACCATTTCTCGTCCAAATGGACAACATCCCATAGGTTGTAATGCGATGCGTTCAGCCTTGTTGGCGTCCGACAGCAGCGGCTTGATGCGAGTCGAGCGTCGTTCAAACGTTCCGTTCTTGAGGTGACGACTGAGGGTTCCCATCGTGAGGCCCGAGCCAGCGGCGACGTCACGGAGGGTGGAGCGCGGATCGACGTGTACGTCCTCAACTAGTTGCTGGACGAGTTGTTTGGAGTACGTTGGCTTAGGCCCAACCTTGCCGACCTCGTTGGACGTTGTGGATTCAGTGTCGCGGAACTTGCGCCAATTGTACGAGACTGTCCGTGGGTGGATCTGCAGATCTCGGCCACGTGCTTGTATGCACCACGCTGAAGCTTGTCATTCTTCAGGAAGGGACGAAGGAGCTGGATCAATCTTGCCTTGTCGCGACCCGTGTGTTCTCGGCTGGTTCGTTGGGGTTGATTCTCCATGGCGGCAAATTCAAAATTGATTTGGTTTGAGTATGGTATGTATTTTTATTCGGATGGTTGAGATTTGATGTCGATTTTGAGCGCGAAATCGTTGGTCTTACAGCCAATAGATCGTTCCTTCAGTTTTAAATGTCTAAAAAATGATATCCTGCAACGAAATTGTTTTTGATACGAATTTTCGGGGACAGCGACAAGTGATATCGAACAAGTAACGTGGAACAGAGGAAGTAACTGCATGGGGATAGTGAACATACGAGGGGGTGATATAGTAATGAGCTTACTCTAGACACAACTTGTATTGTGCACAAGTCGACAACACCTAGTAATCCAACCTTGATAGTACTGTACCAGTATGTTCTATATCTCATGACTCATCGAGCTCTTGAATCAGCCACAGTGAAATTGTTCTACCCGTTTTAAGAGTTAGTACGATCAATTGTCAATGTAGCTATATTTGCATTCAGGCTGCATAAACTAGTGAAGGCTTGAATGGATAAGTGTGCGTAGGAACTTGCTTTGAGTAGTGTTGTCTAATACTCAAGTACAAAGTTGGACGCATGCTGAAGGACGAAGTGGGTGTTTAATTGTATGAGGACAGACAGCAAGTCTGTGCTAATCGTGCAAGCTATAGAACTTCTGAGGGGAGCATACATGTAGTAGCTGAGGGAAGCATAGTAGCTGATGGTATGAATAGTGATAATGGATAGATATGTATTTACTACAAACTACCCTGGACGATCTCGTCACCAGCAAGTGGACGACTCCAGCTCATACATTTCAACCCCTACGGTACGTGAAGCGACTTGGTGACCCAAAGGCAACTTTTAGTTAATCTGTGGCTACGGTACTTTTTACCTACATCTTACTGCTGTATGCAGTCACATACATCAATGGCTCCCAGCAGGAACAGTTTTGTCCTGCTACAGTACCAGTACTTAGTGTAGATTGCTGCCAAGTTAAGTTAGAGAATTTAGGATTGCTGCTTGATGTGTGGTGTCACCAGCAAAAGGAATTGATTGATTTTAAGACAAATGAAAATCTACGCATGGGTTCGAACCAGCGACCTCTGCCACTCCAACCACAGCTTGTACCCAGTGAGCTACTCGTGCCACGGCATTAGTAGCTGAATAATAAACCGTTTCACGAGTTGTAATGAGCTACCGCTTGTACTACGTAGTACTGTAATAAATTTAGTAGAAGTACTATTCTGTGCTGGAAATTTGGCCTATTAATGGTACTTCGAAGTGTACTACCCAGTTCTACCGCTACTGACGTTAATACGATAATTCCGTCATCCACTGCAGAATCGTCAACAATCGACGTTCATCTGTACGTACATGAATGACTTCCACCTTGCGATAAAGATGCCCTAGCAGGAATAACTACAGTAATAGTAGATGATAGTAGATGTATGCTTATTCAGTCAAACTTCACCTATTGGTTGGTGCGATAGAAATATTTAACCAGGTTTACTTAGTGTACATGTCTAGGGATCACACTAACGTCACAGTGGCCGGGGTTCGATTCCCCGTACAACGATTCTTTTTCCTGAAATGTACAGTACAGTACCGTCACACACTATAAAATAATATCGTGTTTTACAGTACTCCAGATTCACGTACTACAGTATGTAGTACCTGCAACTACGTCGATAATTTTGACCACGACATATAGTGAACACCCACATGCAACTACGTCGGAGATTACCTTGCTTTGACAAACTTCGGAGTGCCCTGGGTTCGAGCCCCACTAACTTTAAAGACCTGACTTTTGCCGTCGTTTTGCTTAATATTACTGCGCCTTTTATTTTGAGGTTACATACATTTCAGCTTACAGTAGGCCTCTAACCCAGTAACTCGGTTTTCAACCAAAAATGCTTCACTTTCCAATATCATGAATATATTTTGTAAATTACTTTGTCGCAAGTCAACAACAGTGTCATTATGAAATTGACAGATGTTCTAGTAAATAACTCACCAATGAATTCAAGACTATGTGATCGAGTGTACACTGAGCCATTTGGAAATAAGTGAGTGACTTTGGAAATCACTCTGTGACATACGAAATCACTTGAAGTTATTCCCATGTCACAAGGAATAACTGGATTGTAGGTGTGATCGTCGTCCAGAATCATGAGATTTAATACCCCTCTAAAGATGAAAAAACAACTATACTCACGACAAAGATAGACACCAAACCACCAAAACTTAATGCACATGTTGGCGCGAAAACGAGTTTTGACAGCCATTAATCGCCTGCCATTCAAAAAAATTCTTCATGTCCCCCACCCAGCCCACACACACATGGAAGCGAGAAAATTATGATCTTTACTTCCAAACGTGTGTGGCATTGACGAACCTCCATATTCGTTTCTTGCCTTGACGGGAAGTCGACGGAGATGACCTTCATGGACATTTGTCCTCGGGACAGAAAAAGAAAGCAAAGCGTGCTGGTTCAGTCATGAAGTATCGCGAAAAGCGCAAACGGCGCTTGAGTTTTTTGTTTTCTACCGGGGAGAGTGCTCAGTTCACTTCCGAGGTTGATTTTTACGACAGTGCTGACGAAAGTAGTATTTTTGATTAAGCATTTTGTAATCAATTACAATTGTACTCGGTATTTATTTTTTCACAGACTAAAACAGAAAATCACGTTATCAAAAGGAAGTTACTCATAACATTGGTTAATCACTCGGTCATTTCCAAAATGGGTCCAGACATTGGTCGAAACCATCAGATTTTCCAATATCACCCAAGAAATTGCTAAAAGATTGTGCAATTAGTTTCTGACGTGGTAATTGGTCAAGAGGACTAAGTTAATCAACACCCACATGAATTACATCGAGCTTTACGTCGAATGGACATCCTTGATGTCGTAGCAAATCGTAGCCAATCATAGTCTAGTTTTGATTGGCTGTTTCTTTGCAGTCAGAAGTAATCCGGTTCTCCCTCATGCTGCTCACTGCAGTAGTCCTAATGCCCTCTTCACTCAAAGTAATCGTAGCCAAATAGAATACGAACTCCTGGGCATCTTCCCAAGTAAACAATCCTGTACTGGTATTGTCATTTCGATTCAAAATTGGAAGGGGGTGCTGAACTGAATCGACAGCACCAGATCGGCAGAAAATCGACAGACCAATCAAAACAGTCTATTTTACCCAGTCGAGCCAATCACATTTGGACATGTCGATTGAAGTGCCTGTCAATACACGCGTCTCTGATGTCAAAACAGAAAATGCAGAACTCGCAGAACTCACAGAACTCACAGGACGTGCACACACCAACACATCACTACAACACACGGAGCTCTCCCCAACCCACGCGTGCCGGTGTCTACACGCTACGAGCCGATCTCTTTGTCAAGGAGTCGGTGTATGCGCGGGACAACAGTGGCAAACGACTGCATCCACATGTCTTTGAGGGCGCCCAGTGGAGCAACATTCGAGCTAGCATCTTCGACTTCTGCTCATCGCACATGAGCCCCAAGGCCACGTACGTCAACGACCCTCGAACGTGGTCGGTCAGTGATTCTCCTCCCACGTTGGACGACTTCGAGTCGTACATTTCGATCAAGTTGGCAAGATACCACTTCAAGCCCACCAGCAACGAGCAAGCACACGCCTATCTGGCTTCCCATGTCAACAGCACCTTCACCATTCTGGTTTTCAAGTGGGGCAATCAAGTCAACACAGCGG